TTTGAAGATCGATATCTGTTCGTTATTTTCACCTTTATTAATTAGTTGTAGTTTAACAGGTGCATGATGAATTTATAGCGCCGGGCAAAGCAGAGAAATCTAGCTGTAAAAATACGCATGTATGTTAAACTTATTTTGTGGCTTGTTATTTGTAAATTATTCCGTCCAGCTTCTTCCCGTATTAACCCTAATGCGTATTTTTTCTTGACATGCTGAATTACACGAAAATACCAGGTGCCATGGATGCTGGCGTCCGTAGATTGAACTGCTCTCCCAGTTCGGCAAACCTCGGATGATACCGTCACCTAACCTTAGATGATGAACGAATCGGTCGAGGTGTGCCAAGTCCTGCTACCGCCCCCCCCCCCCCCCTTATAATTTGTGTACACCTTTTTATCCACAAGTTTATGGAAAAGAACAAAGTCAGTATACTTTCCAAGCATTGCTAAAAAAAAAAACAACAACAAAAAACCCAATAATAATCAAACAACACATTTCTGCTACTACAAATTTTCGTATTTATTTCTAGGGATGCTAAGTGGATAGACCCATTTATAATTCTGTTTTATTTATTCTACATTATTTAAAGTAGTGTAAATGTCAAAAAGCTAAGACCCCCCCCCCCCTTTTAAGTATACGAAAACTGCCTAAGGTAAAGTATCATTTGAAGGCATGTGTATTCCCTTATCTCTTGTATTAATTTTGTTTGATCACTGGAACACCCCTGCCCTCGAGAGAGAGAGAATATATTGTTTTCGTTTGTTTTGTGTTTACTTTTAGGGAGTGCATAAGGGAAACTACTGATTATTTGTAAAATCAACAATAGAAAAGAAATCACAAACCTCACATATACTTATTTTCATTTGGACATATACAAATTTCCATAATATGCGTATACATAATCTTTGGAGGATTCGAGAAGCGGATACCTTTCGGGTCTTTGTTAACCTTAAATCTTATGAAGTCTATACCCTATAAAGATAAAGCAGAGAATAATTTACATTTCACGCTGGCGATCAAAAGACTACAATTAAATTGCACAGGGAAAAAAACAAATTAAAAAAAAATGGAATTAGAAATAAAATTTAAAAAATGTGATACAGGCCCGTAGGAAGCAATTTCAGTAGGAAGGAAAAAAAAAGGTCATCTGACGTTTTTATTGGGGGTGGGGGAGCAAAAGCATATAGCAGCTATGTTTTCTATAGTAATCCAGTATAGTATAGTATTCGGCAGAATTATTGGGGGGGGGGGCACCGTGCCCCCCCCCCCCGGGTTCCTACGGCCATGTGATAGAATATTTACAGTCTGCAATTAACAATCTCCAAATCAAGCTTTACGTGCATACATAAGAATTCTAACCCTTTGGCTTTCCATAGACAAAAGCAATTAAAAAAACTTTTTCAAATATATCTGACCACTGAAACTTTATAAAGATGTTCAATAAAAGTTGTCTGTCAGAAATCAAAAATTAACGTGCACATGTTTACAATTAAATTCAGCTGTTTAATTGATTTGTCGTTCTGCGATGATTCTGATAAACATATTGAAGTGTTTCCATCTATTTCAGAGTGGACGGCCTTTATCTGATTCAACATACAATTTAACATGATTAATTATTCATCCCTGATCACGATGTAGAATGCAATCAATGGCGTCTACCACCAACTTCTGCTAAAATGAACCTTTTGTCCACATATTAATTAATCATGTTTTAAATATTTATAGTTGATTTCAGATACATTTTGTATTAACAATCACCCATGCAGTAAAATTTACAGTGTGACAATATTGCACGTCATCAATTAAATTGCTGGAGTACAAACAAAAATACATTGACGAAGAAATTAATCTACTTTTTCCTCTTGAAAATTCAACATACTCGTATGTATGTTGATTATCAAACTGAAAAAAAATCACTCGCAGTCAAATCTCTTTATCGATAGTTCGAGACTGAGGAAAAAATATCCACAGATTCCAATGTTCGAATATGAAAATTGATTTCATGATACGGAGAGACCATCGATACAATATATTCCTAGTCTAGTATTTGACATATCCGTGTTTGTGAGAAGGGCCAGGCGCGTAGCTGTCTATACGCAAATACGCGAGTGCGTACACATCATTCTCAGAAAAAAAAGAAAAGAAAAAAAAGAGAGAATTATTCGGAGAGAAAAAATCTCAATACCATCCAACAAATATTCGGGTTTCAAACTAGATGTGTCACACTGTGTCGATTTAAATTTTATATTATCATGACTGTATGATAAAATTTGAAATCTTTTATGAAATAACTGCAAAATCCAAATAAATCAATCATTATTTTGTCATTGTTCTATCATACATTGATATCTTTTTTAAATCTCTTTGAAAAATTAAAGTTCAGCCACATCGTTCAATGCTATGATCTACTAGTCTGATTTACAATACGACATTTTTTTTGTTCATAATTAAAATTTTGTATACGTGTTTTTAAACGTTAAGAAAGATTATATAATACCAATTAATATATCGGTTAAATTTTTAGCCTCAATTATATGTGCAATAAGTTTCCATGGAATATTAATTTTCGTTAAAACAATAAATATTACTATGTCTTTCATTTCCTAAACAAAAACTAAATGGCATATTTTTTATATTTCAAGAAAATGAATGAAATATTTGGTAAAACTCCGGAGCTTCAGCAGGCACGTAGTATCAGGGGAGCCCCCCCCCCCCCAACTTATTCCCAAAACCTAACCTTTTACTATTGAAAATGTACATTGAAAGGGTGGGCCCCCACTGTCTGTTGTAGAAATTTGGTTTTTGAAAGTTGGACCCCCCCCTCCCAAACAAACACACAAGAAATAGGACTTCGAATTTTGACAATCTTCCTTTTCTTCGTCCTTGCTTGTCAAAATTTTTAAAGTTGTAATTTTTTCCTGGCTGGCAAAAACTATATTACGTGCCTGACCAGAGCCCTTAAACACTGGGGGGGGGAGGGGGGGTTCAAGACCCCCACCCAACCCCCTGCCCTTCTCTGCGTACACATCATTTCAATTCTGGCTACGCGCCTGAGGGCCAAGTATATTAGAAAATAATGAATACCAGTAAAAGGCATGAAATTTGAATAATATCTATTGTATTACGTGTGAATATTCTTTTACTTAATCTATGTAGTAACGTAACCAAAAATGACTAAGAAACCCCCTAGAAAACCGAATCCTTGGTAAAGAGGATCATATATAAGCGACTTATCCTTCTACTCCTCCCCCCCCCCCCCAATCTAATTAAAATTAGATGTTCCGAATCCGCTACCGCTTCTCAAACGATGTTTGAGAAGCGGTAGCGGATTCGGAACATCTAATTTTAATTAGATTGCCGCCACACACAAACACACACACGAAATAGGTTTTTCGAGTCTGAAGGTTGTTTACCTTTCTTTCTTTCTTTTTTCTTTTCTTTTTCTTCCTTTCTTTTTTTTTTGATTATTATTAAAATTTTTCAGTGGGTGTAGACTCCCCTTTCCCCTTCGGAAAAAATCCCTAATCCGTGCATGATATAAATGCCATATAAATTATTTAATTTATACAAGCAATTTGTGTACATGTACAATTATATCGAGGGTTTAAAAGAAAATGATTAATAAGTTGAAAAGTTCTCTATAATGGGAGAGAGGCAGAATATTCCTCTCTCTCTCTCAAGTCTATGTCCTCTTTGATTGAGAGGTCTGCCTGTCTAACATTGATTGACCTTTATTATACTCTAATTAAGATGTCCTCCATCTCTTTTCTTGGTCACGCTATAATTCCTCATTTAGAGGCCTATAATGAAGCGCTTTCGATTTTGCGTTCACGGCATATCGTGTACCCTGTGAGAAAATCTATCGTGCTGGTTTTACTTGCTGATAAGTCCAGTTCAGGCTTCAGTCATTCCACAAGCTTTTGTGAGTATGTGGTGATGCAGAAAACGAGAATTTGTATTCGGATATGATGTGTGTATTTTGCCCAGAGAGTCTTACTCATCAGACGCCTTCAAATTATTTGAATGAACTTGGCCACCCGTTACTACATTTATATTTCATAGCAGAATCTGGTGTAACAATTAAAAAAAAAAGAAAAACAATTCCATCGGATCATTATTGATGTAAACGATACTTTAAAAAAAAGATCGACTTTAAAACAATGAATTCATCATTAATTATTGAGTCTAGAATTTTCCAGTGCAAAAAACTGCCGATATAACATCAAGAAAAAAAAGACAACTCAATAGTTCTGTAACAAGTTAAAACCTTATAGATAAATAAAAAAAATATATAGCGTGTATTTGTTCTCCACAGGAAACCAGAGAAACTATGGGAATTGCACGTGGAAATCATTTCAAATATTCTTGAAAGAGTGTTTTGTAATTATACTTGTTAAAAGATATATATTGAAGACATGTAGATAAAATTTGATTTTCATAGAATTTTGACAATTTTAACAGACACATATGGCACTATGTTGAAAGAAAGATAAAGAATATGGTGATTTTGGATTTGAACTTTGAGAATTGGGTCAGGTAAAAGCCTGGACTCATATTCCCCTCACCTGGATGAAATTACTAGATCCACCCTTAGTAATTGCTTTCTGAATATTTCTGTTCTATTCTAAAATAGAAAATACATTGTTGATATATAGCGGAATGGATGTAATCATTCATACTTAATTTTCTCTGATGATTTGAAAATCGCAAAGGACATACAATCAATGTAGAACTGTAATTAATGATCAAATGTTTGATTTTTTTGTAATATCGCAGGGGATAAAAGGAAAAAAACCTCAGGTGTTCAGCTACCTCAATTAGGTCAACTCAGCATATTTCAAAGCCATCTTTCAACTTCACTTAATTTTTAATCATGCCACACACAAAACTGGCGGTGTATTCCATAATACGGAGGAGGCCAAGAATTTTTTTTTTACGTTTTTATCCGAATGGCACTTTTTCAGATTTAGAGTTAACCCCCTTTACCTATGTAAGTTTGTTTACAAATGGCGACCGAGAATGACGGTTCGGAGGACTTAGTGCATGTTCTTTCTACCACAGAGTCAGTTCACGAAGCTTCTTACTTATTTGTCAAAGTTTTAGGGAGAGGAGCGTTTGGGGAAGCTGTTCTCTATCGGAAAACAGAGGTAAGCCATCTCAGGCTGCTGCAGTTGGCGACGATTATGCAGTGATCTGTATTTTTTTAAACAGTGAAAGCTCTACTAGTTAATTAATCTTGACTGAGATTATGTATAGTTCAATGTTTGGATCGTATTTCAAACTAAAAGGTTTCAATCCAAATATCGAGAGAGCAGAATCTCAGCCGAGGTAATTGAAGTATTGTACGTATAAACTGACAACACTGGTAAACGAAGAAGAAACGTTTATATTTGTCAAGTGTTTGTATTCAGTCTATCAACATACAAGATTTACAATATTTAAAGTCCAATCACTCCTGCAGTACCTACACCTGCACCTGTCAATCAAGCACATCACTTCTCTCTCTTCGGAAGCAGATGGCACAGGACGTGTGTAAAACGCATGGTACCAGATGAACTCACCTCTGTGTACAGAGTACTATACATTCTTCTTCTTCCAAGTAACTGCAAACCTCCTCTGGAGTATTATCAGAGACTTTATTTGCTCCGCATGCCCAGCAGAAGTGTGCTGTTAAAATCAAAACATTCACAAGTTAAAAGATAAAAGTCCATATGTACAGTTAAAAAACACAGCACTACTCTAGATGGTATATGGATTGAGTTAGTGCAGCTGCTCCTTAAATCCCTCCAAAGTTGGAGCATGGACAACGATGACTGGTAGGTTGTTTCATAGGCAGATTGAGGAAGGGAAGAAGGACTGTTGGTGATTCTGCACTCTGGATTATGGAATTTGGTAGCGAAGACTGTGCCCTCTTGTTCTTGTAGTTGATTGTATTGGGGTTAAGTATGGCTGTGTTGGAATAGCCACTAAGCTATTCACACACTACTACATTACAATGGTATCAGTGGCATGTCTCTGACTACCAAAATTTAAATTTTTAGAGAGATCTGAGCCAGAAGAGTTTGTGCATTTGAAAGATGCCTATTGTTTCTAAATAATATTTCAAATCTATAAATCTACACTTTTATTCAAAAATAATTCTTTGTATGATATTGGTTTATAATTTATGATTAATGGTGATGATAGCTAAAAATAAATTTATCAGTGAAATTCTTTTAAAATATTTTTCTTCCTACTGTACAGTATTAGCATGATAGTGTGTATAACACAGTAATGCACTGCTTCCTACTAGCTTCAGCAAGTGGGTTAACTCTTTAGCTCAGTATCACAGACACTTGTTTCTGTAATAAATTTTTGACCCATGGGATAATAATAACACAAGGTATCCAACTCCAAATTACACAGAGTACCCCCTTCCTCAGAATTGCACTCATTTACAATTTCAGAGGACATGCACTGGCAAACTGCTTATACCTGTGTCTTCTACGATAATTTATCTACACAACCATATATGGCATGCGCGTCTTTATTTATTATGAAGTGCCTGTGATACTGAGCAAAATTTAAAAAATGAGTGAGTTTAAAAATTCAATTCCAGTGTTTAAATATTGCAGTGAATAAATAAAATTTGTTTACCTCTCATTTTCCATTAAAGCATTACGATATTTTTACGATCTAATTTTAAAAACAGATTTTCAGCCAATCAAAATCTGTGCCCGGGATTAGCACATACCATTTCATGGTTGAGTTCAACTTGGCGAGCAGAGTTATGACGCTGTTTACAGGGATAAAAGAAAATGAAGACATGCATGCCATATATGGTTGTGTAGATAAATTATCATAGAAGACATAGGTATGAACAGTTTGCCAGTGCATGTCCTCTGAAATTGTAAATGCGTGCGATTCTGAGGGAGGGGGGTACTCCGTGTAATACGGAGTTGGATACCTTGTGTTATTATTAAACTATGTGTCAAAAATTTATTACAGAAACAAGTGCCTGTGCTCAGTATCTATAACACTGAACTGGCACACCAGAGGTCCCTGGTTGAATTCCAGATGGAGACAAAACCTGTCTCTGTTACATTTGATGCCCAACTGGGGACCCATTTTCTGGTGGTTAAAAGTTATTGCCTCAAGAATTGCAAGGGGAAAAAAACCCAAATTAATTCTAAACGAACAATTGTTATATTTTTACAATATTTTATAAGGGTAATTGTTTTTAATCAAATTGAACAGAAGCAATATACATTTTGGTGTTCCTAGAGTATTGAAAATTAATATTTTTCCTACTGTATATTCTACCGTGCAGTGAAAAGCTTTCATGTGTGTCATACAGTGTTGAACGTTGTAGATTTCCAATGGATTTCATCAAGAAAATTAAGCTGATTGTAAATACAGAGGATGGTAATTTTAGACACAGGGCTGTATTTTGCAAATTATTGATAATCTTCAGGTGCCTGTACACAAATAATTTACATTAAGATATATGTATTTTCATTAATATGTTCTTTGGTTTTGAAAAGTGTTGCGTGGTACACAGGTTGACTATTGAGGTATTAAGAATTCTAGCAGAGCCACTGTCTCATCAGAGACTTCTGGTTGAATGAACTCAATTCCTATTGCTTAATCAATTTTTTTTCTTATTTTTAGGATAACAGTTTAGTGGTATGGAAGGAGATAAATCTCTCTCGATTGTCAGAGAGGGAGAAGAAGGATGCCCTGGGAGAAGTGGATATTCTCTCCATGTTAAACCATGCTAACATTATCACATACTACAACCACTTCCTGGATGAAGGGACTCTTATGATAGAAGTTGAATATGCCAACGGTAGGTTGTAAATCTTAATCCCAAAAGTAAGCTTAATGACACCAAAGGGATATTTTATTAAGCTTATTATAATTATGAAGAGTTTTGCACCTGAATGAAGTTTTGTTCAAAGACACTATATACAACTTCTTTGCTTGTACTTTTGAATTAACATGAATTACTTTTGAGAAGATGTGCTTGCCCAAAATAATATATCATGAAATATCATCCTTAAGCCCCTTGAATCTCAATATGATACTAGTATGTTTATCTTGGAATTGCATTAAGACTAAACTAATGTTAAAGGTGAAGATAACAAACATTGATAAAGGATGACTGTGCTTAAGGACATGTGAAATTTGCGACAAAATAAACTTTCAAAAACAAGCATTTTTCTTTTCATTGCAAGAATGGTCAACATCCAATCTACAACTTTATGTAATTACATTTAATACAAGTGTGTATTTATGAAGTTTGAATCTGTTTTCAAAGGCAGGGGTCATTAAATCAGATTAATACCGGTGGACAAACATGCGCTCATGGTTAAAAAGAGAAAAAACTGCTTCTTCTTACATTCAATCTCTGTGTTGTAACCAAGGATTGTGACATGTTGAATATTATAATTCACCACATGATTTCTTACCTCAGGTAACTTTGTGAGTACTAAATTCCGTCATGTGACTTGTAAGGTAGCATGTTTTGTGCTAACTAGGACATTGTGTTTGAACACGTTAAGTCATCTCGCATTGATATAAATTCTGCTTGAATTACATTGACGTGCTCCTATTGTTAATTTCGTTTTGAAACCTTTGTCAGAAGTATATTTGTGCCATACAGAATGGAGAGGGAGATTGGAAAGAGTGATCACATTCTTTTTTCCAAACATGACATTGTTATTTATCAAGTCTAATTTTAGACCCATTCTTACAATGTTAGCTCCACCTCTCATGAATATCTAATGTTCAATCAAGGGCAGGTAAGTGTAAATTCACTATATTTGGAAAGCAGTAAGGACAAAAAACATTGAACCATTTTATTGTATCACAGTCTAAAATCATTTTAAGATTTAAATTTGGTTCCAAATTGACAGCATTCTTTCATAAACATACAAAAGTGAAATAAGGTTTAGATATAAAAGCAACAGAATCAACCGAAAAGACCCAAAAACAGGCGTTAAGTGCAGTCATCCTTTCATAAATCCAGTAAAGGATACAAACAGAGCAAAAAACACACACCTCTGGAAACACTAGAAGTGTGATCAGGTGCCTAGGAGGAGAAAGCATCCCCTGTTGACCATTCAGACCCACTGCAAGTCCTTTGTACTGATCAGATGAGTGGAGTAATCCACAGTCAGAATAGCATAGAAGAATAGTGCTTGTTTCATTTTAGGAGGAAATCTGGCCATGAAAATTGCTCAACACTGTGAGAGTAATGATCTTATAGCGGAGGAGGTAAAATTATATTATAATCTTTTTGTTATCTAACATGGGCATTTTAAAAAGAATAAATTAAGGAAATCTGATAGTCTCTCAAACTCGTCCAAAGCTTTACAATACTTCTGTCTGTTATTTTATAGCAGGTAAAGTGGTATCTCTACCAGACAGCCTCAGCATTACAATATATCCACCAATTTGGCATTATTCACAGGTTTGTAATTACAAGATCCTAAATTCTATCACATGTTCTACCTATAAGACATGTTGATACCATAGCCTAGAGTGATCTAATTTAAACATTCCATCAAGCAAAACAAAACTCAGATTTTTTTTTTTTTTTTTAGAAATGTTTGTTTACTGATATTGTGAATTGAAGGTTGAGTTTGTGTCACAAATCATCGCTCCTGTAACAATTTTAAATTGCTTAAACATAAATTTTCTCTGTGATTGGATGTTTAACAATTATGCATTTCTTCTCATTTCATTTTACCTCACATGGTATCAAACACTGATTCTTTTGATATTTTTCATCTTCAGAATATTTTCATACAGGGCACCTCTTGCTATTTCTCGATGAACACATCCACTGTGTCTCTCAGGTTTTATTTTCTGTCTTGTATTCTTTTATTGATTCCTCTTTTAATCTTTTTAACCATGCATGTTTACTTTGTATCTATAAATAAACCTCAGTCCTTAACACCGTCATAACATGTGTACGCTTTGTGTCTGCTCTGTCCATTCATCGTTTCACTTTAAGATATCTTGGTAAAACATTGAGTACTGAATACCTAATTTGTTTGTTGTATTTATCTCAATTTTTGGGAAAAAAAATGACGATAAGAAATTTCTAGTTAAAGAAATTTTTTATTGTATTTGGGGAAAAAAATCAAGTGACCTTTGGGAATATTTGTCTGAAAAAAATAATTCCCCAGGTTTTATTGGTATATCTCCTGAATACAATCTTATCTATCAGTATTATATGACAAACCTCTGGCGTCTGGTCCAAATTTCTTGTATGTGTAATAATATGTACTTATTTTGGCAGGATTTTAAAAATTTTGAAAAATATTTTAAAACATATTAGGTATTTTAATGATTCTTTTGTCTTGCTTCTTTCACATTTGTCAAGAAGACCATAAATGGAGAAATTAACAGGGCATTTTATAAATACTAGTATTCTAGATTTATTTAACCCATTGTTTCTTGCTTTCTTGAATGTAGAGGTGCACAAAAGCTGATCCTCTTAAGGAGTCTTTTTTGAGAGAATATGTAAATGTAGCAATTGAAGAAAACAGTTTATCTCATCAGATCATATTTTATGTAATTATGCTCCACTTGAAGATTGTTCAGAAAGAGGTGGGGTGGGGTAAGGCATATTTGTGCAGTTCATGTTATATATACCAGACAGCAAATTGTAAGAAATAATATATTTTGTGCATTTCAATGTTCCTGTGTGCATTGCTTCATACCTCTGTATATATACCATATGTATTCCTTCATTCCAATTTACAGGTGTTCATAACCCAAAGTACTAGATATTAGGTATTTAATTTATACATTGAAGTAAGTTTGCAAAGTTTTGTTGATTCAAAAATACATGTAATATGCAATTCTTAAACATAAACATAATTGTGTTATTCAATAAAACACACTTACAACAAAGAGCCAGGGACAGATGATTTTACTTTGTTATAAATGTATTTTGGTATATTCGTTAATGTACAATTTAGTTTCAAGCCACAGTGAAAGAAAATCACTTCGCTAAAAGCGTCAATTCATTATATGTGTGTTCGCTATAAGCGTGTTTCACGGTACATTAATCAATAATTTTGATTCAATGTATTGACTTTAGATTTGAATTTGACAATATATTATTATATTTTAGGGACATTAAAACCATGAACATTTTTCTCACAAAGACAGACTTAATCAAACTGGGGGACTTTGGAATATCCAGAATTCTTGAGAGCAAGAGTCAAATGGCTGAAACGGTAAGAATTTAAGATCAGATTGTATTAACCATTTTTATAAGAATAGGTGAATCGGTGATGCTGATATCAGTTATTGGTATGTAATTATGATATTAAAATCTGTGTATGGCCGTCTGTATATTTGAAGGTTGTGGGAACTCCATATTATATGGCCCCAGAGATCATTAAAGGAGACAGGTAATTCTAAGAGACAGGTCTTCAATGTGTAAAAGTTGTCACTTGAATGCTTTCAGAATTTGTATATAAATCATGCATGAATAAAGAAATAAATGTCTGCTAGAATATTTTGTAACATGAATGATAAATTCTTATTATGCCCCTGTAATCAAAGATTTGGGGGCATATGGTTTTGATCCATGTGCCTGTTTGTTTGTCTGTCTGTTGGTCCACAAAAAACATTAACCTTGGCCATAACTTTTGAACAATTGGTGCTAAGGCTTTCATATTTCACATGTGCATTCCTTGTAACAAGACTTTCTTTAGTACCAACTTATTTGACCTCATGATCTTGACCTTGGAGTTTGACCTACATTTGAAAAACTTTAACCCTGCCTATAACTTTTGAACTGTTGGCACTGTGGCTTTTATTTTTTACTTATGTATTCCTTGTGACTAGACAAATTTCTTTGCCACCAATATTTTGACCTCATAACCTTGGAGTATGACCTACTTGTGAAAAACTTCAACCTCAGCCATAATTTCCAAATGGTTGGTGCTAAGGCTTTCTTATTTCACATGTTAATTCCCTATGACAAGACCTTTTTTTGGTACCTACATTTTTGACTTCATGACCTTGACCTTAGAGTTTGAGCTACATTTGAAATACTTAAACCTTGGCCTTCAGCTTTCATACAGGGGCATCAGTGTTTCATAAACACATCTTGTTTTGAAATTTGAAACAAACACTGGCATATTGTGTTATAACTTTATTTTTGTTTAGTTATGATCACAAGGTGGACATGTGGGCCCTTGGTTGTGTTGTGTATGAGTTGTTGACCTTGAAGAAGACTTTCCATGCCACCGTAAGGTTTAACTACTTTACCACACAATTTTTATGCTTATTATGCAATAAATTTGTATAGAGTTACTAACAGTCAAACTACTTTCCATTTTATATGATTTAGAATCAGCTGCGATTGGCTTATGAGATTGTTAAGGGTGAACGGGGGGATATAGATCCTCAGTACTCGGAGAACATTCAGCACCTGGTCAGCTGGATGCTTCAGAAAAATGCCAAAGATAGACCCTCTGCAGAGGAATTACTGACCAGTTCAAAGTTCACAGAGATTGCTGATGTCCAAGAAATGGAGAAGAGAGTATGGGAACTCAACACGTTGTCACGGAAACTAAGGCAGCTCTCATCTGTCTCCATGGAAACTATTCCTATCATTAAATCTAAAATCACAGAGGTAAATCATCATGATTGATTACTATAAAATAGCAAAAAATTTAAGGCACATGTCACTAAAATAAAGCAATTACTTACTTGATTAACATTTTATAATAGTAAAACAACATTGTGATCTGGGAGTTAGCATAACCACTATATTGCAAAAAAATTCCAGCTCATTACCACTACTTTTCATCTAAATTTTGGGTGCTCATTACCACTGCATCTTATCAATAAGACGATCGGTGAATATCACTCCTTACCGCTACATACACAAATCTGCATGCAATGGCACAGAATATATTCAATATAATTCACTCACAATGTAGTGGAAGTCGAAGTACAATTCAATATGAGTTCTATTCAATATAATTTATTCAGCCTGTAATCGAAATACAATAAGACTTTCAAAATTAAATTTTAAAGTGTGGAGATGTGTAGAAAAAAAACTGCAAAACAGTGTATTTTAGAAATTAAATGGCTAAGGATTTTAAATAATGAAATGAAAAACCAGTCTTGCTCAAAGTTTTACATTCACCTCGTCGTTGCGAGCAGGGGAAACAGGTCTTATGCATATAGATGTTGTACTACTTTACATCTGTACATGTATGCATAAGGCCCTGGCTAACAGAAGAGGCATTGTAGCGGTAATGTATACTTATAAATGTAGCGATAATGTATACTATTTTGTAGCAGTAATAAGTATGAAGTGGTAATGACTATTTTGAAAACGTAGCAGTAATGTAATGCACCCTGTGATCTATAACCTTGTGGCCTCACTGACCATGGATATTTTGTTTAGATATACAAGTAATTTCTTTGTGATCTAATTACAGGTTTATCAATGGGGAGGTGGGAAATTAACGCCACAAAAACAGGACATATTTGTCAAGGGAAAAAGTGCAATACAGGTAATCAAATTAAAGCCACAAGAACAGGACTTATTTGTCAAGGGAAAAAAATGCAAATCCTGCAAAGAATCTAGAATTATGTCTCTCCAGTTGTTTTGTGATGTGTCTGTCTGACTCATAATTTTACAAAAATGAACACCTGAAGGACACACAACTTGTTCCATAAAAACAATTTTGTGTTTGATAGAGTCTAAAAATATTTATAGATCTTTTCTGTTTTTTAATAATTCTCTTGTCCTTATTCAGGTGGCTGCTGGTCACTCTCATTTTGCTGTGGTTACCATGGAAAAAGAACTCTATACATGGGCAGTAAGTAGATGGAGTTATTCTGTACTTGTCGTGAATGGACTTTTCTGGTTTTAATCACTTAAGATTTAAACATAGTGTAAATTTCCATTGATTCTTTATAATCACAGAATGTACAAGGTGGTACAGAAATAGTCGGACAACTTGGTCATGGGAACACATCGGCATACAAAGCTCCCAAAAAAGTGGAGGGTTTAGAAGACGTTATACAAGTGTCATGTGGAGAGGACTTCACCCTCTGTGTCTCAGGTCTAGATACTCGAAATTCCCTTATAAAGATAAACAAGCATAAAAAAAACTAGCATTGTCCTATGTTTGATAAGATACATTTTTAGTGATGGGTTTTCCAAAAGTGTTACATGTTATCTATTTATGAAATTTTTTTTTATGCAGATGAGGGTAAGGTTCATGCCTTTGGGTCTAATTACTATGGCTGTCTTGGGGTTGAGGATGAAGATGAAGTTCTCTCCCCTTTACTAGTGCCATTTTTCTCTTCTAACCCTGTGGATGAAGTTTCCTGTGGGGAGAACCACGTGGCAGCTCTCACTAAGGATGGGGATGTATACACCTGGGGGTGTGGCGAGTTTGGTAAGATTTCAAAGAATTTCCTTCTTTTTTTTTTTGGTTTCTATGTCTGGCCAGTCAAAATTTACCAAATTATGTCTATTGAATATACACTCTATCTATACCAGCAAGTAGGCTTTGATTTTGGAAATAAAAGTTAGAATTCTGATTGCTTATATGATTGTCTGCTTCAGGGAGACTTGGTCTTGGTTCAGAAGATGACTTTTCAGCTCCCCAGAAGGTATGAAATGATTTGTTTAATCAGAATCTTACAGTATTCCGAGAGGGAAATGGAAATGTTTTACACAAATAAAAAATGTGGATTAGGTCAATGTATGTTTTTGCACTGCAAAATTGAAGATTTTCACACGTTTTGTTTTTGGTGTCTGTTTTTTTTATCTGTCAGCCTTAATTTTTACTTTGGTCAATTCTTTTATGATGATTTTTACTTAATTTCTTACTTTGAACATAACCTTTATGTACAGTTTTATTACTTGGGCAGGATAAACAGGAAATTGTTACTAATAAATAACATTTGGCCTCTCAGACAAATCTTTTTTTCATTCAAGGTTGCTACACCAGGGAAGCACCTGTTTAAACATGTTGTTTGTGGTTGTGATGGAACATTCTTGATCACTATGAATGGTCGAGTGTTAGCAGCAGGCAGTAATGAACACAACAAACTGGGATTTAATTCTGAGACTTCTGGGCTTAGAAAAAGTAAAGTCAAGGTATGGACTACAAATAAATATCTCTGTTATATGAGGAACTGGTTTCACTCTTCATAGCAATGTATAACAAGGACATTAACTATATGTACAGGTTTATGACATTCCGTGTAAATACACATTCAGCACCGTGAAGCCTTTGACTAGATTCCTCATTGCCCAGGTGGCTGCTGGGAAGGATCACTCTGCTGCTGTTGATTGTAAGGATCATTATAAACAAAACAAAAACAAAAACAAAGTGTATATACATGTATTTTAATAACGTTTGCACGAAGCCATAAATTAACCATGAAAGTCATTCACAACACTGAAATCTACATTCTTGTTCTGTGATGTATGTAGAATTTGCTGTTGTTACAGTGTATGGACATTTGTACACTTTTGGATCTAACAAGTATGGACAGCTAGGGACGGGGGATTTTAGGAGACACCGTGGGATCTGTAGGGTGGGTGGGGGGTTGACGGGGAAGGTGGTAGATAAAGTTGCCTGTGGTGATGGATTCACAGTAGCCATTAATGGTAAGAATCACCTCTTACATATTTAACAGCTGTATCAATTTTTGCATGGAATTGATATCAGATTTTAAAGATATCAGTTTGACTTAAATTTTATTTTCATTTCTCTCTATACACTCAAAATATTCCCATCCCAATTTCCTAGAGGACTTCAAATATCTCACATTTAACGTTGTACAGAGAACCAGGTGTTTTCTTGGGGGAATGGTGACAATGGAAGACTGGGAGCTGTGTTCTCTGACAAATTAAAGGGGCCAAACAACAAGTCCAGTTGTCTTCCAAGGCCTATATTTGGTTCATTGTACAGTGTGTCCAATTTATCATCTCACCACTGGCATACCATAGTCATAGCTGGTAATTATAATCCTACAACTGATATCAATGTAGTTAATAGCTGGTAAGTTTAGGCTGATAAACATAGTTATAGCTGGTAAGTTTAGTCTGATCAACATAGTTATAGCTGGTAAGTTTAGTCTGATCAACATATACCTGGTAAGTTTAGTCTGATCAACATAGTTATAGCTGGTAAGTTTAGTCCAATCACTGATGTATTACAGCCTAAGCTGCTAAGTATAATTCATAGCTGAAGAGTTTATCCCTTCATAGATGTATTTTAGCTATTTCTGTACAATTAAATTCCATCACTAGCAAACAGGAGTTAAAACTAGCCAGTTCATAATCAGCAGGTACATGTGTATTACCATCTCAAGTATACAAATTGTAAGTTGAATTCCACCTTTGCCCTAGTCATAGAAATAAGTGGTAAATATAGTCCAATCATAAATTAACATAGTTATAGCTGGTAAGTGTAGTACCATCACTGTACATGATATAGTTAATGGTGGTGCATGTAAGTGTAGTGCCATCAATGACATTAGATAACTTAGTTTATAGTATATAATTATTGTATTCTTAGTTTGTCTCTCTTGAAAGTTTTATTAGATATTTAGAAGTCTAAAATAACACCATTTTCAACTCTGTTCTTTCAAATTTTGTAAACATTTACATATAAGTACATATTTATCATTGATTTCCCATCTGTTTAATATATAATCAGAAAACTTTACTTTTTTCAGAGAAAATTTTGAATCAAAAGACTTTAAGATCAAGAGTTTCATCCCCAAAATGTAAGTGTCATATTGTGAGGGTTAATTATAAAGTATAGTATTTCTGTCTGTTAGATCTGTAGATTTTAAGGTGTTAGGTGTAATTTTATTGAAACTTGCTTATTAGAAATTGAGAAGTCATTTAAAATTCCCTTTATAATTTTGTCTATGTAGAAGAAAAAAATGATGAGAGGGAAAGAAGTTAATATATGTAAATTCTGGTTACAAGGAAGTGAAAATTACCCCACTATTAGTTTTGTAGAATAAATTCTTCTTGTACTAAACTGGTAAGATTACTATAATTAATAATTCATTTTTGTATGTCTTAAGTATCTGGTTTTCTCTAAAGTGCTTAACATCATCAATACCTGCTCTAAAAAAAGCACTCTGTAATATTTTGTAATAATACATTATATATTTGTATATTCAAACTTATTATTGTTAACAGACCTCTCTTATGTGGATATAGGGAATCTCAGCTTCAGGAACTAAATACATGGGTCTCTTAGATTCTGGATAAGCAAGTTTCACTATATTTTAATCACAGGCACTTGATATTAAAAAAAATTAATCACATGATAAACAATTTTATAAGGTTGGATGAAATTTGGTCATGGAATGAAAATTTTTATAAAGTCAGCTGCCTTTGATTTTAATTTATCTTCTTTGATATTGTTGTAGATTAGAGTATTCATTGAAGTTGAAATGTTGATCTAAAATTTCTACTTTTCTTTGTTAAATTTTAAACATAAGTGTGTTGGTTACTTCCATCTTCCTTTTAACACTGACATTTTGCTGATGACCTTGACTTTTCCTTGACCTTGAACTGACAATTTCAGATTTTCTGTGTAACTTTTTGTCTGGAATATTGTAAAAGAAGATTTTTTTTTTCAAATTAAGCCAGTATTTGATGAAATTGCCCCAAGGTAAAAAAGACTTATTTACTTAACCTGGATAATTTAAAATCTGAGAGAAGAGTTGTCACTAGTTGATGAGTAAAACATATCTGAACTGGAGTCAAACATAAGAAGACCGATGTCTACTAAATTAATACACATATCATGATCATTATATGTTATATTCCCAAGTATTTCCCCCAAGCTTTATTATATAGGAATGATTGGATGGGACCTATGGACATATTCCAAGTTTAATGACTACATCTTATGGTTGGATTTTCAATTCTAATGCATTTTGACTCTTTTAAACTGAAAGCTTTGTTGTGTATAAAAATCTTCATTCATTTTTTGTAGTTGATTCCAAATTATATTATATTATACTCTCTATAGACTAGACAGTAACAATCCGTTAGTGTTAGACTAATTAGCAGTCTATAGCTAGTGTACACCTTTCTCTACTTGTAGTCATTTTAACTTTCACTTTCTCATTCTAACAGCTAGAGAAAATCCTCCACTTAAAGGTCTGTATCTTGCTCTGTTATTTAATTCAAGTATTGTGTTGTTGTTTATATCAATACATGTATTCACCATTTCACATAGTAGTGAGACCCATCCATAATCTGTTAGGTGATATAAGTTCATCTAATGACTTTTTACTATATTATTTGTTTGTTGTCACCTATGACCTTTAATGTGCACATTTTTATTGTCATTAGTATCATCAGGGGTACGGGGAATAAATCTTTGAAAAGTTTTCATTTTATTTTGAACATCTTCATGAAACTGAAAAAAATTATCAATTAAATCCTCTTCCTGAAACCCGTGTCTAATATATGTGGACGAAAAGCAGGTCTAAACTGATTATATCTATCTATCTATCTATCTATAAAAGCATGTATGATTTTTTTTTATGATCATATAAAATTTACAGTTTACGTACGAACAGAATCATGCACTAAACACGTGAAAAAGAAAACGTCAAAATGAATGATAGCATATACAAAAAAGCCATTTGATGCTTATTATACAGAGAATAAAAGTGACACAGTGGGTAAAATTTAATCCATGAAAAAGGTTGAAGATACATACATGTTAATTTAATATATTACAAGTGTATATATTCACATAATTATATTAAATAGAAACTAAACGCTTGCATTCTATAGAGAACGATTTTACTGAGAGTGCGCACTTTCTGCAAGCGGCGAGCTTAGAAAAGTGAAAGCAATGTGCAAAAGAGGTAAAATGCACCGGTAGACAGCGTCAATTTCACCGATTGTCACGGGATCTTTCAAGTTATTGAAAACCTTATCTGTTGTGCCCCTCCCCCCCCCCCCCCTTAAAAAAATAGCATAACCATTACTGGTTGATGGTGATCAAGCTCAACATTAACGAGTCCAAGACCCCGGATCACGAACTTCTTGAGACATTTATGTGTTCGATTGAAAAAATGTCGTTTTAAATACTGTATGTTGATTTTAACTTCAAAACCTTGGACCTTTGTGAATATCAAATTTTAAGCGGGAAAACTTTTTTTCTCCCTTAGAAACAAAGATACGAAATGTTATCCTTTGTTTTGCATCTTTTATTTTGAGTTTTCCAACAATACCGTCTTTTTAAATTTTGAAAACGAAGGGGACATTTTCTCCGTATTCATCTTGTAGAAATTTATACGGAACAGAATTACAGATTTTCAAAGTTAAAGTTGAATTAAAAAAAGTAAAGAATATAAGCATTAGCCAGTTTTTACAGTGATGGAAATAATATAATCAAATCGTGGCTGATCGTTATCGTTTTCTATGGTCACTAGACACATCCAATATCCTTTAGTATGCCAGATTAATTGAGCGAAAATTATATCAGTTTTGCTGTACTGTGCATTAAACTAATATCAGAATGCACATTTTTACGAATTATTAGATCTAAAATACATGTAATTTGCAATCTTAAAATGCCAAGAAGTTTGTACTAGCCTTTTTATCTGTTGAAAACATGTAATTCTTTGATCATTCAACTAATCGGCCTGTCATACGAACCAAATAATGTAAATTTGTTACCCTTGTTTCTCCCATCAATTTTTTTTTATTAATTTATGAAACGGTACCAAAACCAATCAACAATTAATCAGAAACTGATATTTACATGATAATGTATCCTCGTGTTTGTGTAAGGTGGCAACCGGTGATCTGTTGTTTGTATTTAAAGAAGAGAATCAAATTAAATCCTCCAAATAAAGATTCTATCCGCACAGAAAGTATTTTTGATGTTGATATGAAATGGACTCTAACTGTTGACACGGAATTTATGTCTTGAACGAGTGACACTAGAGTTGAAAACAATAATTGTTTTGATGAATATGAACAATGGTTGTAGTTTGGTTTAATTTTTTCTGTTGCTGATATGGACGTTTCTTTGACCTCTTCTATTCAGTGGTGATTCCACAACCGGTCCAGGAAGAGGACAGTGCGTTTGTCTCGGACGGAATCGGAAGTGAGGATATCTCTTCTAGTGAACCGGTGTCGGAGTCGGACGGAATGAGTGATTCCGGAAATCCACAAACTCCAGATACAGCGGTGAGACTTAGTTTTTCTAATTTCATTAGTTTCCAATATTACATTATAAAATTTGAATTATTAATTTTTGGGGGGTTAAATTTTGTCAGGATCGACCAAGTTCTGCTGAATCTTCCGATAGGCCGCGTTCTGGTGACAGACCAAGATCAGGTGGTAGAAGTGCGACAATTCCTGAAGAAGATACACAAGTCCCGGACTGGCTTAGAGCGGTGAGCATCATGTTTTTTCATCAGATGGAATAAGCATACACCTTTTAGATTTGTTTTATTATCTCCATATTTGATTCATGTTTCAGGAGCTCGATGACGATTTTATCCCAATGCCGGGGAGTAGTCAACCCAATGCCCCGGCTCTGCTTAGTCCTACCCCCTTGGTTGGACCTTTACTGTCCCCTCCTGTACCGAGTATAGCCCGTCCAATACCAGGGGAAGAGGTGTCCAGGTCTCCGTCCAATACACCAAACGCTCATCTGAGAAAGGTAATGAGTTATCGTATTACTAGTAATAATTAGTTATTGTAGTAATTATAACTGAAGAAAGGTAATGAATTATAGTATTACTATTTTAAAATTATCTAAGCAATGTAATGAGTTATCGTGTTTAAAAATAATCATTGAAGAAAGATAATGAGTTGTGTGTTAATTATCATTGAAGGAAGGTAATGAGTTATCGTGTTAATCATCATTGAAAAAAAGGTAATGAGTTATTGTGTTAATTATCATGGAAGAAAGGTAATGAGTTATCGTGTTAATTATCATGGAAGAAAGGTATTGGGTTATTGTGTTAATTATCATTGAATAAAGGTAATGAGTAATCAGAAAAATATCGTGATTTATCGTGATTTAAGAAGAACGGAATCCCCTTCTCTCGATTAAAACTCACTGCAAGTCACACTTTATAAGGTACCAACAGTTTCTCATAAAAACTTTTAAATTATGAACATAAGAACTTGAAATGTAATTATTTATTACCATTAAGTGGCATAGAGATATCCCAAGTTATAGCCAATCTCCTGTGGAATCCGTAAGCTATCAACAACAGATAGCACCGATGCCACAATTCAATGAGATTTCAAGCACCTGTTTTCATTGCCGCTTTTTGATTTACCATTTGTTAAACTATGCAGCAAAGTCCATAATAAACAAGGTTCAATCAGATTGATTTACCATTTATTGTTCAATAATAAACAAGGTTCAATCCGAATTTGACGATTTCTGTGACAGTTTAATCTTCTTTATGGCTCAAAGGGATGATGTATGTCAAATATTGTCGGATTTAAAGTGATGTTTGTTTCCTATTGTAGAACGGAAGTCAAGATAGCATAATCAAGAACCTGAATGAAAGAATTCATCTCCTGGAGGCAGAGAACAAAATGGTAATAAAAGTCAATACTATTCATAGCAATCTGATTAATAAAAACAGAAGACCTAATACATTGCTTGTATGCCTACTGGCGTGACACCAGATGCCACGTGGTGATGGATGCATGTGTAATGGATGTGACTGAGGAAGATGATATCACAGTTGTATTTTGTTTCCATTAACTTGTACTTAAAAAAGCCTTGAAAATTTCATCAAATGATTCTTTTCTCATTGGTTTATGGAATTCTTAACGCTGAATGCCGATTTGACGTTAATGCCAGTGACTTTTTAAAGCGTAATATGATATATTATTGGTTTAAGTATTTTCTGTTGCGGTATTATTCCACAGTTTAACTTTTGAAGTCTTCATTTCATTAAATAATGATATTAATTCATGGAGGCAATGGCAGGCTGCTAACATTTTATAACTTAAACTTATGTCGTCTTTTGTAGCTGAAAGAAGTTGTGCAGCTCCAGGATCTGAAGATCAAGTCCTTAGAGATGAGACGAGCTTTGGACGAAAAGAAAGGCAGCTGACAAACAGCTGATGTCATGATCAGCTGCTGAACAGCTGACCTCCTGACATACACAACTGAAGTCTGATTATTTAACAAGTAGAAGCTTTTCAAGTTTCCAACAAGTCATCAATCAAGCGTCATCTACAACCACCCTAGTCTTCATATGCAGTAAATGACTGAGATACCATACATGGTTGTGAAATTAAAGACTAAATATTCAAAGCATGATATAGTTTTCATTTTTTCCACTAATAAATGGTTCATTGAAATTAAGGACCCAGTTTATTGACTCCAGTTCATTTGTTCACTCATGTTGAGTCCACAGGTAAATTATGTGTGATGAAAATAAAAAATAAATCTACGATGTTGTTTGTTTTATTCCAACGCTACTGTTTTGGCCATTGGCTAAAAGAAAATGCGAAGAATTGGGTACATGATTTTTTGTTGTTGTAAATATATTGCTTTAATATATTTTATATACATATAATTAATAAATTATCGCAAAACTCGAGTTTTACAACATACAAAACACATACATGCACAATACACATACTTATATTCAAATGCAAAATGAAGTTTTAAAGAAAATAATTATTCAAATAAGTTTCGCTGGTAATGATAGACTCGACAGACGTCTGCAAAATCTTTAATGGATGCTATGGATCCGATTTCTCATAAAGAGCCTTTTGTCCTCCCTTCTCCATAGTTTGGCACAAAAATCGTTGAAAGAAAAAAAGCTATCGAAGTTCTAGAACCTCCATTATCCCTGCAAAAAATGCCAACAAGGCGCCAGCAATGGCGAGTCCCATTGACCATCCGACAGAGTAGCCCATCTGATCCATCTTCCCACCAAAAACAGCGATGCCAATAACGATAAATAAAACTGAAAAAAAAATAAACGTAATTCTGTATAAATTCAAAAATATTTAAACAAAAACTTCCATGCACTTGTTGAGATATATTAATCTTCAAATTGGTGTAGATATATTAATCTTCAAATTGGTGCACGCAATATTTTTTCTCATTGCAATCGCATCAAATGTATACAAATAAAATTCTGGCCTAAATACGCGTGTAGATATGTACATGTTGTAATGATAGTGAGATCAATTCGAATATTGAAATATTTTCAAGTTCACTCCGGAAAATAAATTGGAACGACTTATTGAATAACCGTAAAGTTTAAATGCACTAAGAGACATGCATTTCTAAGATGCTAATGATGTTTCTCACCTGACAGAAATGTGAATAAGATAATGGCGTAGAGAGCTTTCCTCTGTTTACACGAGGACACAAAGAAGTACAACAGTAGTATCAAAAGGGCTACAACCATACATATCAGACCGAGGCATTCCACAGCTTGTGTCAAACGGAACCAGCCTGCAAAATAAAACCATACATATCAGACCGAGGCATTCCACAGCTTGTGTCAAACGGAACCAGCCTGTAAAATAAAACCATACATATCGGACCGAGGCATTCAACAGCTTGTGTCAAACGGAACCAGCCTGTAAAATAAAACCATACATATCAGACCGAGGCATTCAACAGCTTGTGTCAAACGGAACCAGCCTGTAAAATGAAACCATACATATCAGACTAAGGCATTCCACAGCTTGTGTCAAACGGAACCAGCCTGTAAAATGAAACCATACATATCGGACCGAGGCATTCCACAGCTTGTGTCAAACGGAACCAGCCTGTAAAATGAAACCATACATATCAGACCGAGGCATTCCACAGCTTGTGTCAAACGGAATCAGCCTGTAAAATAAAACCATACATATCAGACCGAGGCATTCCACAGCTTGTGTCAAACGGAACCAGCCTGTAAAATAAAACCATACATATCAGACCGAGGCACTCCACAGCGTGTGTCAAACGGAACCAGCCTGTAAAATATAACCATTACATATCAGACCGAGGCACTCCACAGTGTGCCAAACGGAACCAGCCTGTAAAATATAACCATTACATATCAGACCGAGGCATTTTACAGTGTGTCAAACGGAACCATCCTGTGAAATATAACCATTACATATCAGACCGAGGCATTCCACAGCTTGTGTCAAACGGAACCAACATGAATATCAGTATAAAAGAAAATGGTTCGATCATCAAACCATCAAGTATTCTCATAAGTTGTAAAGTGAGGTTAAATTACCAGAAAGAGCAGATACTAATGAAATACTCGGCTCTAAGTTTTATCCTGAGATAAGATCGAGATGCCTTTAGACATTGTGAGGCGGATTCTTCCAAGATTACCGAAACAGGAAATTTTTTTATATTAGTTTGGAAGAAATTTTATGATTATGAATAAAAAATCGAGTTGAATAGGTATGCACAGTGTCCACTGTCAATACACGTAGTATAAAACTACGGAAAGCACTGACCCTAAACATGCTAAATGTAAAGAGAGGTCTTACAGTATATAATGATGGAATTTTTGATCATAAATCGACAAGCAAACATAGCATTAATCGGACAAAAAATCTTCGTCATTACGCATGTATTTGTTTACACTATTATTAGATGTTTTCTTTAATTTGCTCAGAATGTAAAAGTTAACCAAAGCTTTCTACGTTCCATGAATTCCAAAGCTTACGTCACTGCAAGCAACTACCTGTAAGCAGGGCCAGTGTTAATAATTCCGCTGACAGGTTTTGATCCCTAAACAAATGCCCAGGAGAACACTGCTGTGTTTATCACGATGTGATGCAACTCATATGTGGGGTTATAGCTTCCTCTAGAATTTGACAGTGCCAGATGAATCAGTGAGCACAATTGTAACTATTTCCCACTGCACATAAATTAGGGGAAGTATCATTCATTAGAGTTTCTTTGGAAGGAAAATCAGAAATAAATATTTCAAAGTCAAAGTACACAATTCTACATTTTGCAGTCTTTACTATACTGAGCTTTCAAACGTCTTTTTCTTGAATGAAAAACTAAGGAATCGGTAAAGCCCGAAGACAACCCCTACTGTGAAGCCTATGGAGAACTCATCAGCGCGTGCTAACAAGGCGTATTTTTGGATTTTCTCAAGTGGAAAGCGATGCTCGCCAAAAAAGCAATTTCCGAGATACAAATAAAATTCGAATCGGCTTCTGTTGATAAACGACAAAACGATTTTGTAACGTCGTTTGCAAGAATTTCTTTGTAACTTTCCCCGGAATCTTCATCGATTTAATTGTTAGGACAGTACAAGTTCTGACTAAGAGTTTCTTTCTTGTATGGAAAGAGACGATAGTATTGTTGGTTATCCTGTTCCATTTTTCTCTTTTCCTGTAATCGGTTCTCTGATTAACCAATCATTGAACGATCTAATACGGAATATCCTCCATATTAGCTGTCGAATCAGTGATGACCGCAATGAATGCCTAAAATAGTGAATAACCAGAAAAGCGTCATTATACTTGTATGGATATCATGTAAGTGTGTATTTCCTTCGATTTTATTAATCAACATAATGATAATTATCATCATCATCGTAATTCTTTTTAAAAATAATAAAATTTGAAATTTTTCATAGAAGGAAAACAATTTCAAGAATGAACACCTCTGATTTTGCACTTCCTGCAAAATTTCACTGACAACCACTTCACTCAACTTATAGCGCCAACAACGTTCTAACATACAAACTGTTGTATAGAACAACAGTGCCGTGATACTTGGATTAACAGAAGGAGCTATTTCTCTTAGTCACTGACATAAATAAACGTCAATTACAATTCTCCATGCAAAAGCATTCTGTTCCCTCTCGATTCATTTCTATATTTACCACTTTGAAGCAATCTTTGGTTACGCGAAAACACTGTACTTCGCTACAGGGTCATTTTCTTATCTCTGAATTAAGAATACTTTTTCCTCTTTAATAAAACTTTATCAAGTTTGATAAAATCAAAGAATTTATATAAGCTCTGCTTGGAGTCTGTTCTTTCCGTTGCCATGTGCATGCTTAGAGCATAAAAAGCAGTAACTTTCAAACGCTGGAGATATCGCGGTATTCAAATATACCTGTCAATGTTAATTTTTAGTTTTCAACAATATTTTTTTGTTGTTTCTGAAATCTCCAGCAAATATGAAATGAAATCCATATGTACAATAAATGTCGAAACTTAAGAGAAAGCTTTTTTCGTATCATTTTTAATTCCTTGCAAATCGAAACTTAACTTACCAGAGTTAAAGAAATATTTGGGTATTTGTGCACTACTGAGATAATCTCTGGCTTCCTGGACGTTATTGGTGTATTTATACTCCAGCAAGTATTTCCATAGCCCTATGACTTTGGTTGAAGTTTCTGTGGTTTGGAAATACTCCCAGTATATGGTAGAAAATCCAATAACATACAAAATAAAACCCAGAACAAAACTGATGAAAGCTAGTCTCATATAGATTGTAGCCTCTCTCCACCTGGAAAACATCGCGTCTAGAAATAGTACAAAATCACTTAGCTCCAATAAAAACAAATCTGAAACTTCGCCAGTCTAACCGGCTACCTTACAAAACCAAAACGCAATTTGTGTAAAAATAAAAAGAAATGTTTTTAAAAATGACAGTCAACAGCGAATGAAGAAAAAAAAATTCACATTTCAGCAAGAGGATTTTTTTTTCAAACTCCGACAGTCTGAATTCTACAAATTTAAAGAACTATACTTCGATAGTATTTTTATCTTCGGAAACAAATGTTTTCCATTCCCGAGCTAGGAATCCACATCATATATCATCAGGTTTGATTTCTGTATAAAGGTGTGCATCTTCTGGATTATAAACTAAGAACATAAACAATCGGCAAACTAGGGGCAGGTGTGAAGTTAATTTAGCGCTTCATTCTCATTCGGTTCGCCACGCTCTCACATCGGAAGCAATTTCAATTAAATATTTGAGAAGAGAAAATTTTCAGCTTCGTGTTCTCGGATTATCCTCCCTATTCCTGATTTCTCACAGAGGCATTAATTACATCTACCTTCTCTTTCCCTTCCATATGCACACGTCAATTATCTTCTTCAAGGAGGCCCTGCAGTGGGGAATCTCCTGTTGTTATTTCCCATTCTTTCAGAAGAGAGCACCCCAGAAAGCATTAACTTTTGTGTAAAAGCTTTTGCCAGTAGCGTAATTTATTTTTGATCTGTATACACTTTATCTTTGCCAACTTTCTCTGTCTCTTGCTATTGCCTAAGAGGTAGTCGACTGTGTTTAAATCTAGCTCACTACAGAATCAGTGGTTATCCAAAACCATGAGGCCCTTAATCCTCGACGCTCACCTGGTTATTATGACAAGCCAACTGTAGGTCATACAAGAAAAAGCCCTCAATATATTTACTTCCATGAAGTATATCTGAAAAATATATATGTTTTTCATATGTAATATACAAAGTTGCTTATCATCTACTATCGGCAAAGCAACAGGTCCTTTTTTTTTTAGAACATTAAATTTTACTTATCGCATAAAAACGTACGTTACACAGTTTGTGTTTTGTATTCATTAAGTCAAATATATTTTTGATGATAGGTGATACATGTGTCTGATTCTGATTAATATTTTATGAAGCCAACAGTTACTTTTTTAAAACAGTCTCGATCATTCAGACGCATGCCTTTATCATACAAATCGAAGCGGTTTTATGATCAAGATTTTACTTCATTTATTTCCCGAGCGACAATTGATGGCAACATCAAAGTTTTCTTGTTTCAATATATACTGTATTTTCACTATATGCGTCCTCTATTTCAATTGTGTTAGGGAGCTTATTATCAAATTTTTATAAGCATACAAATAATTAGCTTGTCTCCTCTTCAAAGAAGTTCAGAATATCAGAATCTGACTAACTTAGCCCCTGTACAGAATTTAAATAATATAAAATCCGAATAACATAACCCCCTGTACAGAATATCAAAAAATACAGTAGAATCTTAATAACTTAACCCCCTGTATAGTACATCAATACTGTAGAACAAGTACCTAAACTTCCTGTACAAAATATCAATACTATAGAATTTGAATAACTTAGACCCCTGTACAGAATATCAATACAGAATAATTGAATAACCAAACCCCCTGTACTGAATATCAATACAGTAGAATCTGACTATTTTACCCCTTTTACAGAATATCAATACAGCAGAATCTAAATAACTTAACCCCTGAACAGAATATCAATATCGTAGAATTTTAATAACTTAACCCACATCAATACTGTAGAACTGAGTAACTAAACTCCCTGTACAAAATATCAATACTATAGAATTTGAATAACTTAAAACCCTGTATAGAATATCAATACAGAATAATCTGAATAACCGAACCCCCTGTACAGAATATCAATACAGTAGAATCTGAATAACCTAACCCCCTGTACAGAATATCAATACAGTAGAATCTGAATAACTTACCCCCTGTACAGAATATCAATACAGTAGAATCTGAATAACCAAACCCCCTGTACAGAATATCAATACAGTAGAATCTGAATAACCTAACCCCCTGTACAGAATATCAATACAGTAGAATCTGAATAATTGGAAAAGGTTATATCACTCATTCAAATTGAATAGGTGATATCACTTTATTCGAATGAATGATATCACTTGTTCGAATAGGTGAAATCGCCTTTTTAAATTGGTGAAATTGGTGATATAACCTATTCAAATAATTTGCATAATGAATTTGTTTCGAATTGGAAACTCACTTATTCGAAAAGGTGATATAACCTTTTTTAACTGTGATATTACTTATTCGATGTGAATAATTTGCATTGATTAATTCGTTTTGAATTGGTGATATCACTTATTCGAACGACTGATATCTCCTATTTGCTTTTCATACAACATTTAATAATGAATGGTCGCTTCTTCAAGACAATCTAGCTTCATTGCAAAGTAAGTGATAAAATTTTAAAAGTGTTTCGAAGAACAATTTTATTTTCTTAGCAATGATTCAAAATTGATTATTTTGATTTCGTTTCTCTTAAACATTATTTTAAAAAAGATCAGAAAAGATTCTCTTGACTTGTCGAACTTAATTTGAACCACTTTCTCTTCTATTTTGGCATTGCATTGATCAGATAATCTAAAATTCACTGTAAGTCTCCTTTTTAACAATCAGGGAGGGGGCTATTGATATATTATATGTATATACAAAAAGAGTACACAGGACAACTCAATTCTACATATTAAAATAATAGATTTTGATCAACCCTAGTAGTTTCGGACTGCCCTTTCCCCCGTGTCATAGACTGAGACAATTTAGTATACCATTTTTTATCGATTTCTATAAAGTTATAAATATTTCAATTGCAGACATTTTTGCTATATTTTTGGTTACATTCTTTTCATTATTATTATGAAGAGACTGCATGAAATGTTTACTTCTTGTATAGAGTAAATGTATACAGTACATATATATATATATATATATATAGAGAGAGAGAGAGAGAGAGAGAGAGAGAGAGAGAGAGAGAGAGAGAGAGAGAGATCTAGTCTTGGGAGCATTTGTTATTTCATAATTTGAATAGGTGATATCCATATTCGAATAAGTGATATCACATATTCAAAATGAATAGGTGATATCACTTATTCGAATAGGTGACATCACCATTTCAAATCAAATAGGTGATATTACCAATTCGATATATTGATTCAGAGCTTCAAATGTCCGGTTATGGTGAAGGAGACATACTCGAGTGATTCAGTTCTGAAAGCTGTATACTTACCTTTTGAAATAAAATATTTTTTTTTCAAAAAAGTATGGCTTTTGAATGTCAGTTTTAAAAAATCGCTTTCCGACGTCTATATTGGGGTTTAAATCTAATTTCTTTTTATATACATTATTGCATTCTTTTACATTCTTTTATATATGTATATAGTTGATATCACCTTTTCGAATTGGTGATATTACCTATTCAGATGTTGAATAGGTTATATCACCTATTCAGATGTTGAATTGGTGATATCACATATTCGAGGAGGTGAAATCATCTATTTGATTTGAATCACTATAAAGGTCAATTTCATGTAAAGAATTTATAAATTTATATACCCGGTCTGTTTTCCTCACATTCAATCACGACTTAAAAGTTTACGATAAATGTTTAAATGCTTTGTTTTGAAACTGTACTGGGCCATTACAAGTTTTTTCTATGTTTAGCGTCCACCCATCTTTCAAATACCTACCTACCTATTCGCAAAAAACACACAACCCAAAAAGTAAAACACAAGTCTTTATAGTCATAAAAATGATGTCATTAAAAGGATTTGATTCCATTAATCTATTTTTCTTGTAGAAATATCTATTTTTCAGCAAAATCAAGGTATTGAATGCTTACAATATTCCAAATAGGACATATTGTAGACAAATACTTAGAGAAATTGACAGAATTCAGTGATTTCGACCAGAATAAACAATTTCAGGACTCCTGAATTTGTTTTTTTTTTCTGATATGGGGTATCAAAAACCAAGGCGCACGCGGGCGCTTAACATAGAAAAAACTTGGAATGGCCCTAGTTCAAATTCAGATTACGTTTATTTTACCAGGTAAGTTAATGGTGTTATTAAGTTACAAATAAACTTTGGTGTATAGTAAATATAATAAATCGAAATACCAGAAAAGCTCATGAGAAGCGATAAAATTTAAGACTGCAGATTGTTGGATTATTTTTAGCTCTATGGATATGCTGTGATGACTAAGTAAGTATCTCGCTGTAAAGGAATGTCAGAGATCTTTAACTGATGACGAAATCTTTCACATTAAACTGTATTAAATTTCGAGCCTTCATTATTGTCACATTATCAGACAGAATTGGTGCAATCCTGTCGCGTAATAATAGAGGCGGATTACAAGTGAGTACAGAGCTTATTGTTATTGATTGCATGAGTCATTCACGTGTCGAAAACAGTTCCAGAAATAGAAGCAAATACAGAAAATGTCAAGACGTAATCACTCATGCTCAAAATTACTTGACTACTGCATGAAAATAAAATATACCACCTTCAGGACCAAAATATTCGATATCCTTCTGCAAAAGTTTGCCTTTGGTGCACTCCTCGTTAATCCGGAATCCCCCGCACCGCCGAAAATACCATAGCCCGTAGGAGACAGATCTGGAGAAACCGTGTCCATCTGAGTACTTGTGTACTGCCCAAACGGAAGTCATAATGCCGACTAGGGCGGAAGTGAAACTGATGGCAAGGAGCGTACATCCCACAACAAGAAGTCTATTTGAGTGAGCAGTGCACATTGAGAATGCCAGATTTTTTTAAAGCAGCAGGATGGTAGCAACTAAATTGTGTATATATCAAATCATCATAAACATGACGTTATTAAATAAGCTTAAACATGCGTATTCCGTTTACGTACGTATTCTGATTTCTTTTGAGCAGGCCGAGCGACAAGAATTGCACGACAGACGTTATTTAGCCCCTCAAATTACCTTGGTAGTTCTAGACAGCTTGGTATTTTTAGCTCACCTGAGCTGAAAGCTCAAGTGAGCTTTTCTGATCACCCGTTGTCCGTCGTCCGTCCGTCCGTCCGTCCGTCTGTAAACTTTTCACATTTTCAACTTCTTCTCAAGAACCACTGGGCCAATTTTAACCAAACTTGGTACAAAGTATCCCTAGGTGAAGGGGAGTTTAAATTGTAAAAATAAAGGGCCAAGTCCCCTTACAAGGGGAGATAATCAAGAAAAGACAAAAATAGGGTGGGGTCATTAAAAAATCTTCTTCTCAAGAACCACTGGGCCAGAAAAGCTGAAACTTATGTGGAAGCATCCTTGGGTAGTGTAGATTCTAAATTGTTAAAATCATGACCCCCGGGGGTAGGGCGGGGCCACAATAGGGAATCCAAGTTTTACATTGAAATTTATAGGAAAAATCTTTAAAAATCTTCTTCTCAAGAACCACTGGGCCAGAAAAGCTGAAACTTATGTGGAAGCATCCTTGGGTAGT